AAAAGTAAACTTGATTGTTTTGTGAAAGGTGTTTGCACATGAGCTAAATTCCTTAAGTGATTCAAGACCGGCTGTCCAAGTGAAAAATATTTCATTTATGTAATGTTTCCATGTATAAGGTTTTACAGGGCTTATTTGTAAAAGTTGGCTTTCAATATGACCCAAAAAATTGTTGGCATAATTGGGAGCCATTTTGGTACCCATTGCAGTACCGTTAACCTGAAGGTAATGTTCGTTATTGAATTCAAAGTTGTACAGAGTTACAGAAAGGCTGGCAAGATCAGTTACTGTGAGATTCTGATGGGTTAGAAAGGTTTAATGCAGACTTTAGAGTTTATAGCTCTTCATCGTGTGGAATATCAGTGTAGAGGGAAGAAACATCCATTGTGCAAAAAAAAAAGACTGTTAGGTGGTAACTATCCTTTAGTATTAATATCTTCTAATATTAAGAAAGTGAGTAGTATCCTTGATGCAAGACAGGAGGGTACAGGGAATACATTTTATGTGTTGGTCAACAAAAGTGGCCAGCTTTTCAGTAGCCATGTTTATGTTAGAAATTATGAGTCAGCTAGAACTGTTTGGTTTGCATATTTTTGGTTACAGATAAATCTACCAGGAAAACTTTGTCTGAGTATCAAATACTGAAAGATTTCTTTGTTAATTTTATTGTTTTGGAGAAGTTCTTTAAGTTTTTCAGTTATGGTCTTAATAAACTGAGTTGTAGGACCCTGTGAGTTTCTTGTAGAAATTAGTGTCCTCTAGTTGCCGGTTAACTTCCATGCTACAGTCATCTTTGTTAAGAATAACAATAGCTCCACCCTTGTCTGCTGGCCTTATTATGATATTGTTGTTCGATTTAAGATTGTTAAGAGCAGTTCTTTCATTTCAGTTAATAATATTATGACATTGCTTGGAAGTTTTAAGGTTTGTATTATGTAATTTTTGACTGCCTTAATATAACTTTCTAAATGTGGTTCTCTGTTTGGTGGAGGTGTCCATAAAGACTTTTCTTTAAAGATCTGTGTATGTTGATTTTTCCTAGGGTGGAGATTGTTGTGAAACAATTTGCAAAATCTTAGTTTTCAAGAGGATTCATGCAGGTCAGAAAGAAGTTCAGGCTTGTTAACATAGCTGTTATTTGGGCAGAAGTTGAGACCTTTACTATAAAGATTGAGTTCCACTTCATAGAGAGTTACATTTAATATTAAGAATGTTAGAGATACGTGTGGAGTGGTCATCGTTACTTGTATGATTTATGAGGTCACAGTTATTTTCAAGAGATTTGTTAGTTTGAAAGGCTTATGCATTAATAGTTGATGAGGATGAAATGTTTTGAACATTTTTTGAAGCTGTTCATTGTATAAAGGGATTTTGATAGTTTCTGGTAGATTGTTTGATGCTATGGTAGTGTCTTTATGATAAAGAAGAGGATTTGAAAGAATGCTGTTAGTAGCCCCTTTTGAATTTTTGTTTTATTCTTTTCAAAAAGGAATGTATCAGTTCTCTTTGTAAATTTTTGTAATTCTTCTTTTTTCTTCCAGTGAGGGATTGTACAGGTGATAATAGTGGGAAATTTCTTTATCTAGAATATCGACAGAATTTTGACAGAAGATTTTAGTGATATTCATGAGTTCTAAGGATCTGTTGTCACTTGTCACAGAATTTCTGATAATGTGCTCCTATTATTAGCTTTTAATGCAAGAAATTGAGGTATGTTTCGGTTTTTTATGTTATACACTAGTGACTTGGCATGTTGATAATGTCTTGTTTCAGAAGTTTCTGAAATAGTTGTTTTCTGCTGTAGTTTAGTGAGTTGCTGCTTGGTTCAGGTTGATTGTTAATAGATATTGGTGTAAGGACATTGTTGTAATCATAAGATAGAGGGTGGGGAAGTTTAAAGGAAGGTAGATGGGGGAGCTGTCTTCTTCAGAGTGTGTATTACACATTGACGAAATATAAACAGTGCATTGTTAGATAGCAGAGGTGGGATGGGAGAGACCTGATTTGCCTCTGAGCCAGAAATAACAAATTGGCTTGCTAATTGGAATTTTTATTTATTTTTTAAATTAATTATTATTACGAACTATTACAACTAGATAACATGGTAAACGTTCAAAGTATCTTCAAACAATCGTAATACTGGGAACCTGTTAGTGACACTTTGTCGAGAAGAAGTGATAGCATTATCTGAATGAGGTGCTTATATACAGTACCTGAATAGAGGGTGCATTAACATAGGTGGAGAGTATCCTGAGAAAAATATCACCAAGGGCAATTGAGTGGGGTATAAAAGACTGGAGCAAGAAAGAAAAAATCAGGCCAATGCTTAGATGGGCAACGGAAGAAACCCTGGTAGTCGTGTAATAGCTATAAGTGGGAGAGGGGTATGTATGTTTGGAATGTACTCTTCAAAATGTAAAGCTTTTAAATACAGGTTTTCATCATATTGATTGAATCACTGTGAAGAGGGAATATAACATACAAATTTAAATATTAAAAAAAAAAAAATTCCACGTTAAAACAAGTGCAAATATATTCCATTGGATATATATATCAAAATTCATAGCATAATATATCATACAGAAGTATCTTGAAAATTGTTACATAATAAACCAGTTCCTGAAATTTAGCAATATATTTAATGAATAAAAACGTATTTTGCCAAAGAATTTAAAAATAAAAGCAAAGTTAATGAGATTTTTACATTTATTCCACATTCCAAAAAAAAAGAGAATAATAAACAGCTAACATACAGGTTTGTTCACTCTAGAAATAAAGAATTATTATAATCTATAAGTTAGTTTTTAAGCAAAAGCAGAAAAAAAATCATAGTGTCACTTGTATATTTTTTATTTCAGTAAAAACCAGTTTTGAGTTGACAGGCAGGTTGATACTAGCCCAACATAAAACACAGTGACAGTACTTTATACACAATTTAGAAAAAAAAAGAAGTGAAAACAAGATCAAACAAATGCACATACACAGGCTTGAGAAAATTTATTTTGCAAAATTAGGCTTGAATACTTTAAAATTAACTAAAGCATTTCTATTTCCAACTATTTTTCTTGAGTGAGGAAAACAAAATTACGTTTTGTCACTTTAAAGATGTAATTATGATTATCTCACATAATTTCATTCTTACCTTAACATAAACATCAATACTGTGGATATCTTTCAAATAATTTTCTGGTTTCCATGGCAATATATACAAAGGTCCCTCAGAAAGTGTAAGGTTTTGCCAATCACCTTTATTCACTTGTGCTTGGGCTGACACAATAGGATATGGTGAAAAGATAAGAATTCTGTAAAACATTGAAATGGATTCAAACAGTGGAGCCATAAAAAATCTCTTTGTTTTACAGATTTACTTCTATCTGGGTATCTGAATCAGGTTTCTTGTTTTTTTTTATTACTGTAATTAAAAATTTACAAATACAATAAATTCAGGCCTCATTTGTCCTCAATTAATAAATATGAAAGTGAGAGTTACAATCACTTTCAAAAAGTGTAGAATATACATGTTCAACTATGTAATAACATTAACAAATAAAATAATGTTAACCCTTAAATTACCCATTTGATTTTATGCTGTTCACTTCTGATGTAGTCTATATATTACACCATACTGATAAATTCCACATTCTTGTCTATTACAACACCTTGTATAAAGAACTGATGAAAAAAATTTGAATGTCAAATACACAGTGGATCCTCAGCATAAACTAGTGGGATAAATTGGAATACTCGCGATATTTTTTGTTTAAATGTTTTGTGTGACTCATATGTTACTACGTATCCTGTAACAAATAACGTCATTGACCTATAAGCAGTTATTGCATAAATAGTTTTGTAAAATTTGTTTAAAAAAGATGATAACAGGGGTTCACATAGATCTCTTCATTAATCTTAAGGATAAAGAAAATGGTAGCTTATCTAAACTGTAAAGATTTATATAAGTCAAAATCAATGCAACTATGTATATTTAAACAATCATCAAAAACAACTTTTCAACTCTTGTGCTGTTCATTTTGTTCAGTACGAAATCACAAATGATCTCTGATCTCACAACCTGTTTGTTAGGTAGTAATTTGGCACTTAACTATCATAATATGACTAATGTTTATAATTTCAGCTTTACTGAAATAATTCAAAGAGTAATTGGTAAAAAGTCCAAGTAGTTGCTACATCCAGTCTAAACTTTCCGTATTGTTAAATTATTTAATGCTTTTTTGTCAAGCTTACTGGCAGTGTTTGTACCCTCAAGCATCTCTCCACAATTGATCAAAGTCAAATCAACAACCTCTGCAAAAGAAACACCCCATACCAGTGAAATTATGATACTGATAAAGCCTGGAAAGCATACAAACAAGCCCAGGCTACATTCATGCAAATAAGGAATGACCCAATCATGGGCATCCACAGAAATTTTTTAAGGGGGGAGAAGGTGGGCAAAGTAGCGTGAAATTGTGAAGTGAATAAAAAATTCATATACATATGCTGAATGAATAAAGAAAGAATTATGTTTCTCATTTTCCAAGGGATCTATTGCCCCCCAAAGATGCCCATGGATCTAGTCTGAGCAGAGGAGACAAGAACTGTCCAGAATATATCCTGTGCTCTCTACAGGCAATTAACTTCCAAAGCATGCGATATGAAATGAAATAAACTAAGCAGCAAGGTAAATCTCACAAGCACTTCCGTAAGTTTATGGTTGGGATATGGTTGACAAAGGAACAAAAATAGAATGTCAGTCATTTATGATGACGACAATACCCCACTCCATACTGGTGAAGACCAAGGCATGGCCTTCATATGCAGATACATTATTCAATATGATTATGGTGACATTCATGAGATGCTCAAACTACAGTGATATCTATACGAGCTAGAACTACATGCAGATATGCAAGCAAATTTTAGCTTGGAAAAGATGCACAGAGCCATAAATACACCTAAAGATGGAGCTCCAGGTCCAGATTTTGTACCATTTTACACTTAAGAAGTTTACAAAAGCCAACCTGCAACAGGTAGCACCCTGAAATATAAACTGATTCATTCATCAATCCCTTACTCTAATCCATGGAGGATTATTCACATTTTAAGGGTCATCAAATCATCACTGGAAAGATCCCAGAGGAAGCTGTAACTAGAAGTCTTGCCTATTAGACTGATCAACTACTTCCATCAACACTAGGAGGTTATTTGCAGTGGAAGAGATACAGCTGATATATGGAAGGGCTATGATGCTGATCAGAACACCCTGACAGTAGAGAACAAACTGACAGAAGTCTGATATCAGAGAAACTAGTTTTGACACATATGTGCATCCAGTTTGTTCCATTTACCATATCTTTTTCACTAACTGCTGTACATGATACTGTGTTCTTTTATTATTACCTTGACAGTAGCTTTAGATCTGGAAAATGCCTAAAATAAGAGTCCAACTACCCATTCATGCTGACAGTATGTTTAGAATAGGCATCAGTGTAAATGGGACTTAACTGTACCAACTATCAGAAAATGCATTATGAAGTATGGAAGCTGGTAATCAGATAGAATCACCATCAATATTGGTCTGCCTCAAGGATCACCACTCTCAGTCCTCTTCAACATCTGCATCATGGATCTATCTCACGTTGACAACTTAATTAGATGATGTGTGCTAACATTTTGATGTACAGTGGAGGCTCCAGCAAAGCTGAAATCAAAGACAAGATGCAACCACCTCTTAGCAGAGTGACCAAATGATCACCAGTCTTCCAAAGCTACAGCCACAACCTGCACAGTCAATAACAGACACAGTAAGGATGCCAAACCATCACCATTTTTTTTGCAGACACAAATATCCTTCTGGATGAAACAGTGAAGTATTTAGGGGTAGCCTTTGACAGATAACTAACTTCCCTATCTACATTAATATTATGATAACCAGAGCTACCGAAGGCATCAATGCAATGAAAATTGAGGCAGAAAACAGAGCTGAAGAACATCACCCACTTGTGTTCTAGCAGTCTTATCTGCACCATTTTTGCAATCATAAATTATTAATGATCAGTATGAGTGCTAGACAAGGTTGAAAAATACAAAAAATCTGTTTAAGACTACTCATAAGATGTATTTTAGTGATCCTAATCAAAGCACTATTACACCTCAAAGCCACAGGAGCATCACAGAACACAAAATAATGCTTTACAAGCAAAAAAAATCTTCACTATGGCCATGCAGTGTAAAGCTATGCATTCAGTACCACTGAAATAATGTGTATAGTGTGCACCCCTTGACTCTACTGAACATACATCAGCTGCAGCAGGATGTCATGTGTATATAGAGTGTGCTCACCTCAACTCTACTGGACAGATGCAGGAGGAAGGCAAAGATCTTGTAACATGCTCACCTACTCTCTACTGGACAATTGCAAGCTGCAGAAGGAGAACACAATCTTGTAATGTGCTCATCCCAACTCTTCTGTACAGATACAAACTGCAGGAGGAGGGCATAGTATCATATTATGTGCTTGCCTCAACTCTACTGTACAGGCTCAGGCCACAGGAGGAGGGCACAAGTGGCATGTTAGAAGTATAGTTATATGAGGGGTGACTTACACTACACTGACCCACTTTCCCATTGGTTGGCACTCCTTGTTACAGACCTAGTGGTTAGGTTCCATTATGTTAGGGTTCTCCATGGTCCACCACCCAAGCAGCTATAAACCAGTAAGTAGAATGATCTCCAGTTCTCCACTTGAAGCACCAGGGGGGTGCTCTGCCTGCTACCCTGGTTTATGTTTCAGAATAGGGATACACAATCACATGTTGTACTGTCTCCAGTAAAAGACCTTTCAAGCTGAAACAGAATCAATGGGGAACTGGGCATTTTCTCTGGGTCTCCCCAATGCAAATTCCTTCCCCTTTTTTCTGATAATCCTTAGAATAGGTACAGTCTGGATCAGACAGTAGTCAGATATATAATTATACCACAAGTATACCTCAAGTGACATAGCAGAACACCCCCATCTCACAGCGGGGTAACACTTTCCTTATCCTGGCTCAATGGAAAATACATATACACGAGGAGGTACCACCAGCCACCTGGCAGGACCCTACAAGCAAATGCTTTAAAAAGAAAAGGGAAACATATTCACCAGTCTAAAGATAGAGTAGACTGGGATGGTGAATGGAAGTAGGCAGTAACCTTCAGGAGATGAGACAGTCAGAAGGTGAAGATAGTGGACAATGAAGGTGTAAGAGGCAGTCCTCATGCCAGCTTGAAGGATCTCATCCAATGGCCATCAAAACCAAGAGGCAAGGGAATGAATGAGGTGATGAATCTGATGGGATGAAATGTTGAACCATCTACAAACATCATCCACCAATGAAAAGTAGAACAACCATAGAAATTGACAGACCATACATGTAAGGATAGAAGGAGATATGTACTTGGAGAAAGAGGAATTTCAGGGAATGTAGAGTTGAAGACAGAAGCCATAAATGTGAGAGGCAAGAATTAAGTAACAAGAAACAGCATGAACAGGGCACAAAAGTCTGTTCGAGTCCAACTGATCATGAAGGTGTGAAATTTAAGGGAGATAGGAGAAAAGGAGTGTCTTCTTTCCCAAGCAGCTAAAGAATTAGGGAGGAAGGACAGGTCAGGATAAGGAAGAATATAAGAATGATGGAAAGTGGCAAGGGAAGATTTGATAGCATAGATATCTAAGTGACAGCAAGTACACAAGAGAGGTAAGATGAAATATGTTTCAAGAGAAAAATGATACAAGTTGCAGGTTGCCAATGGCTCAAAAGGGGCATGGGGAAGAGAGTGCAGGATGACAATAAGGTCCCATTCAGGCATGGGAACAGGGCAAGTGGGTCTATGGATAAGGAAAGACTGGAATAAGGTGGAGAGAACTGAAGAGGAAACACCTTGTATACAAGAAAGGCAAAATATTGTAGACAAGGCCTTCCAATTACTGGCAATGGTGGAAACAGTTGATCCATTGTTGAATGACCAGGTAAAAGGAAGAGAGATAGCTGAAAGTAAAGCAGTCAGGAGAAAGGTGTTGACAGATGGATTAATGTAGAAAGACATACCACTTAAGCAGGTAGTTGGACAAGGTAGAAGGATGATAGGAACAGAAAAGGAAAGTCTACCTCATTGTAAAGTATCATTAAACGGGCTTTAGGATTAGACAAATCCCAAACCGGAAGGTGAAGGGACAAGATCCTGTGATGGAACAGTGATCTGTGAGGTTGAAGCAGGAGAGAGAGAGTATAAATTGTGGGGAAAGAGGGGGCTTCATTGTAAGATAGCATAGAAGAGGGAAAAAAGGTTGAGCAAGTCAGAAAGGTACCACCAAGGGGGACAAAAGGAGTGTCTCGAATCAAGGTCAGGGCTCGAGGTAAAAGCTCGAGCTGGATAAGCATGATGAAAAGGATAAGACCAGTCCTGACTGAAGGCATCAACAGCCAGTGATAAATGATGGGGAACAGGTGATTAGAATAGAGAAAGCTTGGAAATGTGAGTGGTGACAAGGCATAAATGAATGTTGTCACTACGAGAGAGCACCCCCAATGGAAAACCTGGGGGTGAAGGGACCATTCCACGAGGAGAACATGGTCCAGCTGAGAGAGGCAGTCTACAACCAAGTTCATAGCACTTGAATCATGGCAGGCAATAAGATAGACCCATGGAAAATTGGTTCAGTAAGGAAGTTCCAGGATTTGAAAGCAAGGATTGGGTTCTCTCATGGCATTTGGTATAGGAAAAACTGAGGAGCTGTCGAAATGGGCAATAATAAAATGATCCACTAGGAGGAGTAAGAAATGGGAGGATGTCCAATGGACTGTTAGAAGTTCGAATGCATTTATATGGAGAGAGAGGACTCGTCCTGGGTCCATGTGTCATTCACAGATGCTTCCCAACCAGAGGGGGAAGTATTGGTGAAGAGG